CTTCCGCGAGAACTGTACTGTACACACGTGGTTGACTGCCCTCGTGAGTTTGCACAAAATATGGCTAATGTATGTTAATGAAGGCTGGTACATGTTATTAATTCATCTACTTTCCCCAAATTGCTGAATTTAGGACAATTTGCACTCCACATTTTGACAAGTCAGGCAGTTTTCACCAATGTTGATTCACTGATGAAATCTGATTTTACTTTCTCCCAACAATTTTCCACATACTTCATACTTTCCCGATTTTTTTTGTTAGCAGTAGCAGTATTACTGTATTTGCTCTATTAGTAGTACATGTACTTGAACAAAATAAGTTTTATATTAATGATCCAGTGAATGTAGTTTTTAGTTTGTGTTCACTTCTATTGAAAATGTACTTCCAATAGAGTAAATATGGTATATGTAGTAATAATAATATAACTAATCATTTTCTTGGTTTTCTTCTCTATGGACTAAGTTATATTTTATTAATCTAGCACCTCAACTCCCAAACTGCCTATACAGTATGATGTATTTTCTTTATTTCGATTCTATGTTTGTTTATGTGATGTCTTATGGAGTTATATAGATTTATTCTGCTCTTCTTTGAATATACCAAGCTATTTAAATTTCTCACAATATTCACCATTACTGCCTCTCTGTTTCTTGAAATTAACTAATATTTCTCAACCTTTTCACCACCAGACTTTCTCACCACAATTTTTTTGCACTTTTTTTTTTTTTGTATTTTCTTCAATATTTCTGGAAATAAACCCTAACTTTGGAGCCAACTGACAAAACAAATTTTGCTATTTTTGTCCCAATCTATAAACGGACTATTTTGTGAATTGTGATGAAAAGAGGGAACTGGTGGTGAAAAGGTTAACAGCAGGTACTGAAACTGTTATCCTCATAAACCAATTTATTGGTACCTGCTTGGCCGCTAATAATTATGAGAATAATCAAAATCAACAAAGCTGCCAAAAATTCTGTAATTCTATTTTATTTAGATTGTAATATGTAAATATCAAAATGTGACCTAAATATTGGCTGTTATGAGAAGTGTTATTGTATGTTCATTCATGTCAACTTTCATTTATTTCCTGTCACTGTTCAAAAACACAAAAGTACCTCTTAGGTTAATAAAGTTAATATTTTATTGATAGCTATCAGTGTATAGAATTGGCCAGGCAATTTGAATTTGTTTTGTTCTAAACTGGCAATGTTTAATGTTAAAGATTTGTTTCCCGAAAAAATTTCACAATTTGAAGATTTAGGTTAAGCCTGTATGCATATCACGAAAGTCACTGTGATTCCCTTATCTTGTTGAGTGAAACTATTTTTCTTGACTGATGAAATTGATGAAAATTTGTCTTACGAAATTAATAATAAGTTATCAACTTTATTAACCTCTCAGATTCCTGAGACAACACCTGTTTCTATCGTCTTCCACTCACTTAAACTAACATTTCACATCCTCTCATTTCAATTTCACTCTCTGCCTCAACTCGAAGGTCGCTTCACACCGATGAACGAGGAGCCGCAAACTACAGATGATCCTTCAAGTATGTTAGCATGTCAACATTTTCACTTTTTCATTGCCATACCAGTACATCATAAATAAATGCTAAACAGAGTTGATGGTTTCTTGTAAATTTTAATATTGCTTTATTGAAAACCTGCAGTTTGCAGCTGTTTTTTCTGATGTGGTAGGTCTTGTAGGTCATGAACTCAGTGGATGGTGGTGAAACTGTTTGATTTAAGCATGCTATATGTGTTATTGTATTGTTAATAATAGACTATGTGATCTTCCTTTTATTTTACTCACATGGTTACTAGTAACTAAAACTCGGGCATCTTGACCTTGCTGTTATGCGTGATATGAAACAAGTAGTTGAAATAATTGTGCTGACTAACTTCTTTATTGCTAGATTGAGCTTTCATTGCTATATAGCGCTGTTTGTTACGACTCATTCTAGTTTTGCTTTGAATTCATAGCAGTGGCCATATTGATAGATGCTGAATGGTGCAAGTCAGTTTCTATGGAGACTGAAATAAATGAATTGGTGTATGTTATATAAGACTTACTCATAAAGAATAAACAATTACAAGAAAATAAGATGTAATGATATCGGTTAGCCTCTCTCCCAAACACAAAATTTGTATCTTGACACAACATTCTGGTCATCTTTATAAATATTTGTATTAAACTTTCAATTGCAAATAAATGAAGATTCTTTGTAATCCCATCATTTGAAAATACAGTGGCCCCTCGCTAAGTCGCGCCTCGGTAAGT